AGAGAGAGGAAGAGTCTCCCAACCATGAAGGCTGGCAACAAATGCAGTCAAAATTGCCTAATTACTTTTGCAAAACTGATGGATAATTAGTGCATAAGCTATACACTCTATATACACATGTGTGTATATCTACAACCACTAAATAGAGCTGGTCCAAAAGAGATTAGGTTGATGGGCTACCAATTCGGCCCAGCTCAAACCTACCCCATTCCAGCAAGTCTCAAGCCTTAAGTCCCAAGCCCAAACCCAAGCCCTAAGTACTATGTCCCACGATCCATGATCGACGGCCCATGGACCACGGACCAGAACCCAGACCCAAACACGGACTCAGACGAGCGGCAAGCATATGTGTGGCAATTTTTGCATAATTAACTTGAACCATAGTTTTGGCCTAAACCCATCTTTGAAGTATCCATAACTCCATTCCTTTGAAAAATTTGAATGCCCCAAATAACTCATGCCTTATTCAAAACTTGGGATTTAAATACCCATCAATGCTTTCCTCTATAATCAATGTGGGATAGGTAGTTATATACTATTCCCAAAACCTCATTAATGAGACTAACTTTATGAGACAATTTTTCATTCAATTCCCAATGATTTTTTGTCATTCTTTTTGTGGTATAAATATCTTCTGACAAAGAATCTAAACCTATTTGATCCCACCTCAACTGGTGGTTGGAACGTACTTTAATTTCATATTAAAGTCGCCAGAAAACCATTTTTTCCAACAATCTTCCACATGAATAAAAATTGACTGAAAAAAAAAACGGACAACGTTTAACAACAAAGACTCCGAGAGAGAGTGAACAGACTAACCCTGTATTAAAAAAAGTAACTGTTGGCCTTGAACCTTTCACAGTGAAAGCCTATCGGATTTACTGGTTGACTAGTGAACGTGATGTCTTGAACTGTTCCATCGTTTGTGTAAACTAAGACAATAGACCTCACATAGGGGTTAGTCCAACCATTATTCTTGTTCTCAATAGTGTGTTTGGTATGGCCCTAGAACAATAGCCTGGTTCAATGAGTATTTTTGAAGAATTCAGCCTTGTTAATTCTTAAAGAAGTGACCCCATTTCGCACTTATATAGGTGACCAATAAAAGGTATTTCATTATACCCTGGTTAATTCTTTATATCACTTAGGTCATTAAAAGCATTAGTTTAACCTTTCACCTCCATAGGGTATCACTGTATAAAGGAACGGGCAATAAAATTTACCTCTTTAGCAACTCACTCGTTATACGTAGTTAGGTTGTCCCTTTGAACCTAGATCTTGGCGACCTCCAGTCAACTAGGTTGGATTTTCCATTCCAGTAACATTTACTAAAGGCGTTAACCCCATTCCTCTTGACGATGTTTCTAGTAATGCTCGAGCTAACCCTTCGGTTAGCGGATCCACAATGTTGTCCTTACACTTTACATAGTCTAGAGAGACAGCTCCATTAGAGAGTAATTTCGTATGGAATTATGTCTACGACGAATATGTCTAGTCTTTCCATTATACATATTACTTTGTGCCCAACCAATCGCTGATTGGGTATCACAATGAATACAGATAGCAGGCACAGGTTTCGACCAACGTGGAATATGTTCAATGAACTGGCAAAGCCATTTAGCTTCTTCAGTTGCTTTATCCATAGCAATAAACTCGGATTCCATTGTTGATCTCGTTATACACGTTTGTTTGGAAGATTTTCAAGACACAGCTGCCCCTCCAAAGGTAAACACATAGCCATTAGTGGATTTGGAGTCCTTTAGATATCTAATTTGCGTCACTATATCCTTCTAGTACTGTTGGGTATGTGGTATAATGCAGCTCATAATCCTTAGTGTAGCGGAGATAACCCAACACCCGTATAATGCCCCTTCAATGAGTAGCATTAGGATTACTCTTGTATCTACTAAGCCTGCTAATAGAGTAAGCTATATCTGGCATTGTACAACTCATTAGATACATCAAACTCCCAATGGCTCGAGAATATTCTAGTTGATAAACACTCTCACCATTATTCTTGGTCAAGTGTAGACTCAAGTCTATCGGTGTTCCAGACGCACTCGTATCTGATTTACTAAATTTTCTCAAATATCTTCTCTACATAATGAGATTGAGAAAGTACAATACCACTAGATGTTCTGGTAGTCTTAATACCAAGAATCACATCTGCAAGGCCCATACCTTTTATGTCAAACTTAGAGTTTAACAATTTCTTGGTAGTTTTAATCATCTTATCATTATAACCAATAGTGAGTATGTCATCAACGTATAGACGTAAAATGACATAACCTCTGTCAGTGTCTTTGACAAATACTCACTTGTCCCTTTCATTGATTCTAAACCTATTTGATAATATAGCGTTGTCAAACTTCTCATACCATTGCTTAAGAGCTTGTTTCAAACTATACAATGATTTGACAAGCTTATAGACTTTCTTAGTTTACCCTGAAGCTGAGAACCCCTTGTGTTACTCTATGTAGATTTCTTCATCTAAATCTGTATTTAAGAAAGTTGTCTTTACATCAATTTGATTTATCTCTAGACCACGTAAAGTTGCTATCGCAATCATTATGCGAATGGATGTAATCCTTCTCAAAGTAATCTAGGCTTTCTAGTTGCCTGTATCCTTTGATAACTAGCCTAGCTTTACACTTAACAATTGACCTATCAACTTTCATCTTTCTTCTAAAGGTCCACTTACTTCCTAAAGCCTTACTGCTTGGGGGTAGATCAACAAACTCCCAAATATGGTTCTGTAAGACGGAGTCAATCTCACTTTTAATCGTTTCTTTCTATAAAGGACTTTCAGGTGAAGTCACAGGTTCATGAAAAGTTCGAGGTTCACTCTCTAACATATAAGTTAAGAAGTCTGGACTAAAGGACTTGGAAGTCCTAGCCCTTTTACGTCTTCTTGGCTCATCTACCTTATCATCTTGATCACTATCACTAGGATCATCTTTAAGTTCCTTCTTAGAACTTTGATCCTCTCCTCAAGTTTGGCAAGGAAACATGTCCTCAACGAAAGACGCATTCCTTGACTCCATAATGGTATTCTTGTGTATATCTGAAATATCAAACTCGTGCACAAGAAACATATATGCACTACTATTCTATGCATACCAATGAATACACAATTCACAATTTTCAAACCTATCCTAACCCGCTTGGGTGTAGGTACCACCACTTTTTCAAGACACCCCCACATTCGTAGGAAACTATAGGAAGGCTTGCGACCTTTCCATAATTCATACAGAGTCTTGTCCACTTTCTTCCGAGGTATTTTATTTAGAATGTAATTCGTGAAGAGAATTGCTTCCCCCCACAAGTTCTGTGGCAACCCAAAACTTATCAACATTGCATTTATCATTTCCTTTAACGTTCTATTTTTTTCACTTAGCAACACCATTTGATTGAGGGGAATAAGGCACTGTAGTTTGGTGGATAATTCCTGATTGAACACAAACCTCAATACACTGCGATTCATATTCTCTACCACGATCACTTCTTAAAGCCTTGATCTTTTAGCTTAGTTGATTCTCAACTTCATTCTTAAAAAGAATAAATTTATCAATTGTCTCATCCTTGCTTTTAAGAAAATACACAAAACAACATTTAGTGCAATGATCAACAAAAGTGATGAAATACTTGCTGTCACCATGTGATTATACGACTTTCAAGTCACATACATCACTATGCCCTAAATCTAAAGGTTAGGTACTTCTCTCAACATAATCAAATGAAGTTCTTGTCAATTTTACTTCTACACAAGTTTCACACTTATGATTTGGATTAATCTTGAAAGATAGTATGTGATCTAACTTGATTTATCTATGCAAAGAATCAAAATTCACATGACCTAATCTACAATGTTACAATTCAAGGGACTCAAGCATATAAGCAGAAGAAGAAGAAGCTTTCTCATTTATTTTTGGGATAATAGTCATTACATTGAGCTTAAACATATTGGCCGATATCTATTTCTTTCTCACATAGAGTCCACTTTTGGTCAACATGACCTTATCAGATTCAAATGCCATGCAAAAGCCATCCTTGCTTAAGAATGACCCCGAGACAAGGTTTTTACGAATGTCCGGCACATATAGCACATCGTTTACAGTCAGCTCTTTTCCTGAAATCATCTTCAGGACCACCTTGTCTTTCCCTCAACAGTTGAGGTCGTAGAATTCCTCGTGAACAACTTCTCACTGTTTGAAACCGGTCTGAAGGTTGTGAACATCTTTCTCTCAGCACAGATGTGGTAAGTGGCCCTAGTGTCCACCAATCATTCATTCGGGTTGGATCCCACCATGTTCACCTCAGAGACAATAGTAGACAGATGCATGTCGTCCACATCTTGAGATAGATCCTCCTTTTCAGCCATGTGGGCATGGCTTTTGTTTTGTGGATGGTTCATTTTGTAAGGCTTCTTATTCTTGTGGCAATCAATCGCCCGATGCCCATCGCTTCCATAGTTGAAGCACTTTCCATTGAACCTAAAAGTAGGTCCCTGCGGCTTGTAGACCGGCCTCTTGAAGACACACTACTAAAAAAAACACTTTTTGCGACCGCCACATGCCGTCGCAAATAATAAAAATACAATCGCAAAAGACTTTTTGCGACGGCCTATGCGACCGCACATGGGGGACGCAAATGTGGGAGTGGCAAATACTTTTTGCGACGGCAAAGCAGCAGTCGCAAATTATTTGCGACCGCCTAAACTACTCTTTGCGACAGCTATTTTGCCGTCGCAAAAAAAAATAAAAAAATAAAAAAACACTTTTAGCGACCATTGTTTTACTATTGCAAATAATTATTTATTAAAAAAAAATCATATATGGGTTTGCTACAACAAAAAATCAATTACAAACACCAAACAATTTTTTGTAAATGAAAAATAACAAAATTAACAAATTAATTAAATTTATAATAGACATTATTCATTAACCATCCTTAAATACACTGCACTAAAAAATTCAAGTCCTCAAAAAAAAAGAAAAAAAGAAAAAAAGAAAAAAAGAGCAACATAATCTTTGGCTCCCGACATCAACCGCTCGATTATATCAACCATTCCCTCAACAAAATCTGCAAAAACATATATCAAACTTGACTTGATAATTTAATGCACTTCAATGTGTTAGTTTAGCTTGAAATAATCAAAATAAAAAAAAAAACTATGTCAGTGACTTCTCTTTATGGAAGATCAGTGATTTGCAACAAGAGTTTCAATTACCTTGAAAGCAACTTTAGGCTTAACTATGGGATCACTTAATCATGGCATTCGGAATTATATAACTTCTAACCATACGCATAATCTGTGCCTATATTCCAAATAGCAGAAAAATCAAGAGAAAACTAAGATAACCTTCCATATTGTGAATACATATGGTCCTAAATTTCAAGGACTAGAAATATAAAAGAAAAACTAAGACAACTGTCAATCAATTTTATTTTATTTTTTTGCATAGTTTGAGGTCATGAAGCATTTGTTAAGTAACATTTTGAAAAGCACTGTAACACAGGCAAATAAATAGGAAAAAGGAAAACAAGTAGAAAGTTTGAATTATAAACATACCAACAGGGTCTGATGAATCAACAATAATTGTATCATAATTCAACAGCTGCCACAATAATGAAAAGAAGATCAACAGGAAAGTCTAGTTATATATCAGCTGTACAATTAGGGGCATTAATTACGTAAAATTATTAATAACCTAGATTAATGGATCCATATAAAATGGGTAATAAGATTTCAGATGCACATGTTCACTAAACTGCATGTAAAAAATAATTAGAACATATTTTCCACATACCATCAGCAATATGTAGTTGCACACGAGGATCCTCAAAGCCAATAGCTGACTCTGGAAAAAAAACTTTTTATTAACCTATAAGCAAGAAGTTGCAGCAACATACTTGTTACAAAACAAAGAACACAAATAATATCTACATGAATGGGTACATCATTCACCACATACATCTATAACCATCTTATCAATTTTACAAATATCAATGAGCTCCACAGTATTGTGGCAAGAGATTTCCCTAAGAACTCCACCATCACCATCACCACCACCTACAACCAAAACTATTAAATTTAGTAGAAATACCTAGGGACATACAGAATAATTATAGATTGCATAAACATGAAGGGCAGAAGATAGCTAGCTCTACCAACAATGTTTTCCTCAATCATTGGCAACTTAAATTACAAGTTCTCTTTTTACTTGTAAATATGATGAATTGAGGCTGAGAGTACATAGAAATATTATTTGTTCACAATTTAACAATGAGACAAAAACAAGGTGAGTCTAATATTCAATTCTAGAATTAAATTTATCATACAATGCCTTCAATCTAATAGAAAGAGATTTTGCACAAAGCACTCAAATACTATTTTGTCTAAAATTCCCTGGGAAGAGTGTGCAACATAGTGATAATAAAAGTCCTTGAATTTGTTGATAAAAGTTCTTTTTTCTTTTTTCATAGACCTTATAGGAATTCTAAAATATCAAACATTCCAAAATACCATAGTGAACCCTTCCAAAACCCTAAATTCATCCTTAAACCTAGCCCTTTAATCCATAAACCCTAATGCCCAATTACCCTGCCATCCTAGCTGTCACAACCCAAAAACCCGCCCCTAAAGGTTTGGGCATGACCTAAGCAAAACTGACATAAAAACTGATGTACACACCGTACGGGGCCTTATCGGAAGCATAGAATAAAAATTTAACATAAATACAAGCATACTCCATTGAGCTACTCCTAATATGCCAGGATCTCATGCATTACATACGCCATCAAAAGCGGATAAAGTTTAAAACTATATCCCTGGATATCGTGTACAACATATATATTTACAGTCCTGGCCCGATAATTGGGCATAACAAAAGGAATAGAAAAGTTATGTACACCATCCGTGGATGGTTCTCAAAAGTAAACCCATATCCTAGCAGCTTCACAAAAACAAAAGGGCTGGGATGGTGTCTGGACATGTAAAGGGTGACAAAAGGGACAGCGTCCAGTTAGGATTGACTCCCTGGCTCATGACCTACAGAAACAGACATAATAGAGAGTGAGCCGGGCTCAATGAATAGTAATACATAATGAACGACGTCTAATTTGAACTTTAAATACATCAACCCATAAAAGATGCAGCGTGCACTTGTTTTATCTGATTCTGCATTTAGTTCATACTGGCCCTAGGCCTAATCCTATGACATGAACATGTGGCTATAAGCCCTTGAAACATGATGGCACGAAGCCCTTGAACATAGGCACGAGGCCCTTGAACATATGGCACGAGGCCCTTGAACATATGGCACGAGGCCCTTGAAAATGCACTTGAAACTTGTGGCACATGGCCCTTGAAAATGGCATATAGCCCTTGTAAATACTTTTCCTTACATGCTTTAACATTAACATATCTTAAACATGCATAAGTACATTACATGCTTGAGACATTAACATAATCGATTTACATGCACTTGAAACATTGACATGATTGCATAACATACATAGGTACTACTACTCACAGCGTTGAGGTGGCGTGTTGCTTCCTCCTGGAATGTGCCCTGCACACAATTAATACGTTAGTTTCTTTTTGTTTTAACGCATTTCCTGAGTCTTACACCTTGCATGCATTTACAACCGTTTTAAAATCATCTGTAAAATATTCTAAAAATACCAGAGAAGCAAGCACTCAAATCTGAACAAACATTTAATTTTCCTGAAAATGAGTCCCCCGCTCGAGCATCACTTTGGCCGCTCGAGCGGACTGTAAATTGCATAAAACTACTGAGAGGTGGTTTTTCCCGCTCGAGCGGGCTTTCCGCCGCTCGAGCGGACCAAGCGGATTCTGCAAATTCTGAACCTCCATTCGAGTCCCAACCTGGTATTCACTCCATTTTTACATGCAACCCAAGGTTAGGTTAATGCAATATTCCCACCTAACAGCACTATAACATGGATTCTACCTTGAGTATCATAAAATAAGCAAGATTAGGAGCTTCAACAAGCCATCTCTCTCTCTAATTCCATTCTTGGATTCAAGTTCTTCATATCCTTGAAACATAACACATGATATATGCATAATTCCATGAAGTGATGATAGAAAACCATAGATTGAAGTATAATTTCATACCACACCCAATCTAGATGCCTAAGCAGCCAATTGAGAGAAACCCTCATTAACCAAGCATGAACTAGACATGAATCAAACATACACATCAATTACAACTCCAAATGACCATAATAAGAAGAACTTGAGCTTACCTTGAATTTAATTCTACACCTCTAACAATTGGTCAAGCTTTCTTGTTGAATCCCTTCTCCCCCAATTTCTCTTCTTCACTTTCTCTTCTTTTCTCCCCCAAAATGGTGTTCACGTTTGTTTGATCCAAACATTCCAAAATACCACAATGAACCCTTCCAAAACCCTAAATTCATCCTTAAACCTAGCCCTTTAATCCATAAACCCTAATGCCCAATTACCCTGCCATCCTAGCCCTAAAAAAATATAGAGTTTCCCCTGTTCTACAGAAAATCCAGAAAGCCCTATTACTTTTATTATACTAAAACCAGCTTTAAACCTCAACCTTCTCAATTTCAAATCCACTATTGAACCTCAATCTTAACTTTTAACCATAAAACCAGAAAGTTAAAGGCTTAGCCACCTACCTGATTGTTAGGCAGCTGTCTTAGCGCTACCTCCAACATCACACCCTCTTTCGAAAACATTCAAGGGTGTAATGCCTTAGGATGACCACAAAGGTGGAAGAGTCCAATTTAAATGTCATTTCATAAAAGAACAGGGAAAAAAGCCCATGTCTTCTAACTCACAATCTGAAATCAACCACAGGTTGGGATTGTAGGATACATTCACCCGTCGTATGCATTGTAAACCTTGCACCTTACGAACAAATACTTGTGCATGGAGTAGAGAGAAATTTGATGAATGTATTTAGAAGCTCCCTTCTCCAAGAGATATCTGAAGATTAACCCAAACTTACTCTGGTAATAACACTAACTTTGCTCTGTTTTAACACTTTGGCACATGAAAGATGCATTTAGTTTTATGTTCAAAGGTTAAGTAATCCACATTAGCAACTCCAAAAACATTTGTGTTGCCCTAACTAAAACTCCAGAACCAACCTATGCATGTCACTCAAATATATACCATGGAAACATCCCATCATATTTTGATATACATTATTCCATAGCATTTCGGGGCAAAAATCCATCCTTCAGAATGAAATCAGGAAATAAGTTAAATAATTGTAGCATCATGCACCACTGCCACAGGGCCAAATGGTCAAATTTCACGAAAAAGAAAAATAAATAAATAAATAAATAAATACCATTCTGCTACGTTTGTATAAATAATATAGGATACACTTGTTTTAAATTCCAAAAGGAACCAGTTCAATAAGTTACAGAGAACAATTTTAATCGCAAGAATCGAGAGTCAAGGTGTGTGGGAGTGTTATTTCTATAAGATCAAAAAATTAAAAAGATGAAAAAAACTACCAATATCAGAATATTCAATGGGAGATCCAAAATGAGCCCTCGGGTCGTTATTGGACCACGAGAAGGCATACTGGACCAAGCACGAACCATTTAGTCTTTATTTTAAAGATGCAAATCAGAACGCTTGCTAGCCAAAACAGGAAGTAGTACAGACCAAAAAATTATGTGTAGAAAGTAACGGACTAACAGAGAAAATGCATGTTGAGGACTTTTGGTGAAGTGATTGCACACAACAGCTCACAAAGTTTTACCAATTTTCCTGCTGTAAAATTTTGAATAATACCACTAGCTACATGAATGCAATCAGCAAGAATCTTGGCACATGCTCTTGCATCAATTGCAGATAAAGTTGACAGCAAAATTGGCAAGTCATTTCTCATGCATAATTGCTGTTTCTTGCCAAAAAAATTATCAACCATATTCAGAAGGAGCTAATGGAAAACATTCAACATTTACATGTAACAGCCAAACAAAAAACTTTAAATTAACTAGCCAAAATAGGCAGGTAGAGAATTGACTTACGAAAGTCTAATTCAAGTACACAATTTTATCAGCAGTTGGTTTTGCAACTAACACAAAGCCCCTCAACATAGCTAAGCAATACCCTGTCCAAATATGCTTGCTCGTTGAATCTGTCGGACAATTAGAATACAGAGTTGATAAAGAGAACAGAATTGGAAAATAAACTAAATCAAGCACCTGATAATTAATTACAACCTTGAATCTGTTGATGTTCTGTAGAATTCTTTTGACATCATCCTTCTAAACTTTGCTGGTTACTCCAAGCCTGGAAAACATCTATTATATTATCCATGCTCTACTACCATTTATGATTGCTTTTACAAAGCAATCAAAGTCATGTCTTCAGGAGTTTATAACCCTAAAACAGAAATTTCTAAAATCATACAGACACATCCATTTAGCAAAAGCACTACTGGTTGGAAGATTAAAATTTTTTATTTAAAATTAAAATAAAATAAAATAAAGGAAAAAACTGCTTCCCACAATCCAACAGAATCCATAAATGATAATATTTTCTCCTCTTTTTTTCTTTTTTCTTTTTTCTTTTTTTTGTTAAGTAAATTTATTATTCACATTCTGTCAGTATATAAAATAAAATAATTTTAGATGAGCTGATGTAGCATAGTCTGCAACATTGTTGACAGAACTGGTTGTTAGTAGTAGCTTCCTCAGAGTTTCCATAATATGAATTCCTATGCAGTTTATCAAACAGTAAAGCATTTCTACCCAACAACAATGAACTTTGTTCTAAATATGGATTCAATTCAATTAGAAAACCCTTCAAAATTATAAATTTAAAAAAAAAGCTTAATCTCTTGTAGACCAAAATTTCTAAGGAGCACATTGTAAAATTGTTCCAAAAATTACAAAAATCAAACCTATACAGCACTTTAGATCTTTCATATATGCGTTTGTATATATATATATATATGCATAGACAAAAATAAAATAAAATTAGATACATATAAAAACATACAAACAAAATCAGAGAAAGGGAGATTACGAGCAAGTGGATCTGTTACGAGCTAAAATATTTGTTGAACCAAAAAATGCCTCATTCAATCGATTACAGTGATACATGTGTTGTGAGATATAATTTACACCATTATGAGATGGTGATACTGTTGTAATTTACACACTGTTGTAATTGAACAACACATATCCGTGATACATTACATGGATATATATATATATATATGTATAGAGAGAGAGAGAGAGAGAGAGAGAGAGAGAGAGAGAGAGAATACGAAGAGCAGAGAGGAGAGCAAGATTACAAAGAGAGACAGATAGTTGAATCGATTAATGTTTCAATTTACACATTACAAATTAATCGATGAAGATGTGTCAAACATTACAGAGAGTAAGATTTGAACGATGAAGATGAATAAATGAAGATGTGTCAAACATTACAGAGAGAGACAAAGAGAAGTGTTTAGGCTTACCGATTATGAATCTCGATTATGGATCGATCGAAATCTTCACCAACAGCAGATTGAAATCTTAAAATCTTCATCAACAATCGATCAAAATCTTCAAATCTTCATCAAAGTAAGAGTCGAGCAAGAGAGACAGTGAGATTCGAGCGAGAGACATATTCTGAGAGAGAGAGAGTTCAAATTTGGGAAATAAGGAGAAAAAAAAAGGAGACGGGTCAAGTTTTTCATGATTTGGGGGTTTTTTATTTTTCACTTTTAAGAACACGATTGGGTCAATTAGAAAGAGATTTTGATGTGAAAACTGATTTTTTGCGACGGCAAAACAAACGGTCACAAAAAAATAGACGCAGAAAGCCATATTTCTAGTAGTGACACCACCTTTAGCCCTCAGCTTTGAGCTTTTGCTGGTTGGGGATTTCTTTTTAACCCCCGAGGACTAGCCATACTCAATCATGTCTGCATTCACAGTGGAGGTACTCTCTCCTTTCCTCCTGTTGTCTTCCACAATTCGAAGTCTGACAATGAGCTCTTCGACTGTCATCTCCTTTCTCTTGTGCTTCAAATAATTTTTGAAGTCTTTCCAGCTGTTAGGCAGCTTCTCAATCAAAGCAGCTACCCAGAATGATTCACTCAGCAATATTCCCTCTACATGACTCGTGCAGAATTACTTGGAAATCTTAGACTTAGCTGATGACGGTTTTAGAATCCACCATTTTGAAGTCCAGAAACCGGCCAACGACAAAATTCTTTGCCCCAGCATCCTCGGTTTTGTACTTCTTGTCCAAAGCGTCCCACAACTCCCTTGTCGACTTCTTGGCATAAAACACGTTGAACATTGTATTTTCCAAGCCTTTCAGAATATAGTTCTGGCAAAGGAAGTTCGACTGCTTCCAACCATCTAGAGCCATGAGCTTTTACTTGCCTTGCTCATTGGTGAATCCTCACTCAGAAACCTTGCAAGGCTAAGAGTAGTTAGGTAGAACAACATCTTTTACTGCCAAAGTTACTCCAATGAACCTCTCCGGGCATTCATGATGGTTTAGCGATCCTCCTGAAATAGTAAGAGTAGCAACATGATTGACCACAGAGGTCGCAATAACTAGATTGACCACAGAGGTCATAGCAAGGGTCAATAAGCCAATTGACCCAGGGTTCTACTCCCCACTAACATTAGCAGCAACAATATCAATTACAGTTGCCATTTCTAAAAAATATAACAGAATTTCACTATTCTGTATTTCTAGAAATTAAACTTAACACCAGAAAATCCCAAAGTTGAAAATTTCATTCAAAACTAGTCTCACCACTCACTCTAGAATTGAACATGATCAGGAAATTGTTTAGGAAGATTGGAGGGGTCACATCGGTCCCACTTAAGACCCAGTTAACCTTAGAGAAAACTTTCAAGAGCGTGTTGACTCCTAATCCACGGGAAACAAATTTTAAAATAAGTTTTCCAGGGGATACACTAAGTTAAAACAAACCAAGTTCCAAAACTTTTAAGCAATTAAAAATTGCTAACCAAATTACAAGTAATTAAAAAGTGCTACAATAATGTACAAGCAAATAAAATGCTTACAGAATTGCAAGAAAACAAACTTGCTTCACAATATTAAGTAATTAACCACTACTAGAACACAAGCAAAAAAAACTTGCTTTAAATATAAAGAAAAGTAACCAATCCAAATTAGGATTCTTTTGTTCCAAAAATTCATTTTCACGTTTAGGTATTTCTATTCAACAAAAAGGTTAGTAGTTCAAATTTTTGGTTTTATCGTCTCAAATTCTATTCATTTGGTTTTGTAATTTTTTCCCCATTCCCTTTTGCATCGGTATTCCTATAAAGAAAATTAGCAGAAAAACATAACAAAATACAAACAAATAACTGAAAGAAACTACAAAAATAATATACTATTTAAACCTTCTAGCAATCTATTTAATAGCAAAATTAACTAATGAATTAAAATACTAGACAAGTTACAAAAAACCTTATAACTCCAAATAAAACTAGACAAGTTACAAAAACTTATATCTCCAAATAATTAAATTAAAAATTAATAATCAAGAGTTATATGAAATTATTACACAATAAACAGGTAAACAATCCAAGCAATAAAATCATGCAAATAATTGTAGGAATTAGAAAGCATGTCACATAAACTAAAATCTAGAAAATAAAGAGCATGCAAATTATCCTACGAATCAAGGATCTAATAAACATGTGAATTAAACTAGGATCTAGAAAATAATGAACATGTAAATTATACTAGAAAATTAAAAAAATAATTAACATGTCAATTTTAACTAAAACATTGAAACACTCACAAGCATGCAGATTATATTTTAAAATCATATAATAAAAAAGTATGCAAATCATGGTGAGAAACTAATAATCATGCCCACGAAATAATTATTCTAGAATCAAACATCATAGAAATCTGCATATATTTATAAATTCACATTATTACTAGCATGCATTTGGAGTCAGTACCTGTTCAACTCCCAATCAAACTATAGAGTTCTGTTTTCAATTTTTTTTTTTTTAAATTAAGACTAACAGCACTACTAGAATTAGGACTTTTTGCGTCTATTTTTTTGCGACTGATTATTTAACAGTCGCAAAAAATCATTTTTAGAATCAAACATCTCATTTTCCTGACCCAATCATGTTCTTACAAAAATAAAAATAAATAAAAATGGGTAAAACTTGACTCTCTTTCTCTCCCTCTCAATCCCCCCCTTTTTTTTCTTATTTCCCAAATCTGGGCTCTCTCTTTCTCTCCCTCTCAAAATCTGTCTCTTGCTCGACTCTCGCTCGAATCTCACTGTCTCTCTCGCTCGAATCTGTCGATCGATTCTACTTTCTCAAGTCCACTACTATTGAAGATTTCATAATCGGTAAGCTTAAACACATCTTCATCGATTCAACTTTCTCTGTAATGATCCGAGAAATCAAGTGTGCTCTGAATTGCTCTCTCTCTCTCTTGTCTCAGTTTCTTTATGAGATCAGAGAAATCTCTTCGAAGCATTCACTTCTTGTTCATCTTCACGCCTTTTTCGTTAACTTGTTGCTTATCCACTAATCTCACTGCAATCTTCTCGATCGATCAGGTTGTTGTACATAAAGTGAAGGAATCGGAGATAACCGAGCAGGACTCACTTCTACTGGTACAGTTCAGTTTTTGATTTTCATTTACAGATGATCATAGCAACCTATATATAAATTTCACTATCTACTTATCTTCATTTTTGTGGATTGAATTCTGGAATTATGATTTGAACTTACGGTTTTCTCATATTTAGAATTAGATCATTGCTTTGAATAAGACATAGTATGCTGAATCTGGATTCTGTTTTGTTCAGTAATTTATCAGGGTTGTTCTTATCTTGGTTACACACATACATATATCCGTAGTTGTTTTTGTTTTTGGTCTGTTTTTGAATAGGCTTTGATGATCTCTTTGCCACTGTGACATTTCTACTCCAAAATTCTCCAGGATCTGTTTTCATAACAACCCATCACAATATAAGGTATTTTTCATATATTTCATATAATGTGATTTTGTGTTGGCAGTTTACATTTCAACAATGTTAATCTTTGAATTTTATTAAAAATGTATTATGTATTTATATATTTGTTTTGTTTTGTTTTGTGCAGCGGGCATCATCTAATTGAGTTCTTGATGGCGAAGTGGGGGTTGAAGTGCACGAAACTTCTTGACGGCTTTTCATTTATGCCATCATACAAGGCATTTGGGCTAAGTGGCAATATTCAATTGGCAGAAATTGTTTTGAATAATGAAGAGGTCATGTGCCCAAAATTAGCAGTAAAAAGTTGAATGGTGACGCAGCCTCTCTGATTTTTAA